ATTGGAACAAGCTTTGCGATTTTTACCTTACAGAAGAAGCCGTGAACTTGGGTGCACAGTTGATAGAAGGGAGGATGAGTTCGTGAGGAACTCGCTGGGTTTGCAATTGGAGATGGTTTTGTTTCTGATTCTGAAAAGGTTGAATTGGACTCGGCTATGCAAAGGTGGAAGTGTTTGGAAATTTTTGAAGAGGAATAGAGAAGCTGCAAGAGAGAAATGAAAATGAGGAGGGAGAGCTAACATGCTCTCTTTGAAAATAGGGAGTTAGAGATTTTGGGTGCCATGCCAAATTTTTGGCCGCCCTCCAAATTTTTAATCTCCCGCCTCCTCCAAATGTTTTCAATTATGAAGATAAAAACTTTCACCACGGACCAAAGGCGTGGTGAATTCACAAAAGACGATGTGGTTGTTTGAAGTAACCACTATGAGCATATCTTGTGGTAATTATGATATTTCATCACGGATATAAATGTCCATTGTAGATTATTCATTTTTAACAACGGGCCAAAATTTGACCGTGGTGGATTAATGTTATCTACCACGAGTTAAACTTGGCCGTGGTAATTGAATAGTTTTTACCATGAGCTATATATGCCCGTGATAGAATTGACGTGGTAGATAAACTGTTTTGTTCTAGTGTTCCCTTGGCTCTACGTGGTTGTCGATGTGTGGATCTCTCACATGTGACCCACTAATTTGATCCCATGTGAGGGGCGTGTTGAAATATCCCACATCGACTGTATCTCTGTGAAAATAAGAGTTTAAATATGGTTAATGCCATTCCAACTAATACTGAGGCCTTTTGTGATAAAACTCCACACCTGACAGATTTTGATGGTGGTAATTACCAAGTTGAGGACAGTATCTGTGTTGTTGAAAGTGGCTATTTGACCCGTCTCTTTGATAATTCTACAGCTTCTAGTCACGCCTAACATTTTTCTCTTTACTTTTTATTTTTATTTTTGATTTTATGAACAAACGATATTATCTAGACTTAGGGGGTGGGGGAGTGGTTCAAATTTGCTAGCAAACGATATTATCCTCACAATGGGCTATGAATAATGTGGTTCAAATCTGCATTTGACAAGAATCGAACTTAATACCTCTCACTTACAAGTAAAGAGAAATATTATTTTTTTTGTAATATTAAGTGACATTTTCCTCTTCACTCCTTTTTGACTAGGGCTAGGCATGGGCCGGACTGGGCCCAATTTTGAAGAGACCGGACCAGACCCATATTTAAAAGAATGGGCTGAGCCGACCTAGGTACAACAAATTCTAATTCAAGAACCGGACCTAATCCGGCCCGTTTGAAACAGGCCGGTTCGGGCAGGGTCCATGGGTCTTCTTTTTTTTTTTTTTCTTCTCTCTTCTTCGTTTGCTCTCTCGAATCTCGATCTTTCCAGGAGATGTCAGTGATGTCCCTTCCGCTCTCGCCTTCAAGCTTAGATCCTCTGTGTCGCCAATGAGATCGAGACCTGCTAAAGATTTTTAAGATTTGTTGGGGTTTTTTCAAAATTCCCAGTACAACCAATTCACCGAAAATCTCAAAATTCAATATAACCCAGTTGATATCCTTAGGAAAAACCTTCAAAGCAACAAACTTTAATAAAAAATTGAATTTTAGACAACCCACCCAGATGACTAATTTCCTAAGATTGCATTACAATATAACCCAATTGATTAAAATCCAAAATTTAACAATATACCACAGTTTAGCTCCAAAGCAGTGATTGCATGCATCAGAAAAAATAACAAATTCCTTCTCTGGAATTCTTTTTTTTACTTAGAATCCCCGCAAACAACTTAAAATCAAGAAACAAACTAGAGAGATAGCACCAATGGAAGACCTCAATAACTGGGTAAGCTTCGAACTTTTTCTCCTAGTCGGCGAAGAAGTCGATCTCTTCTCCGTGAGGCCGTCGAGGGAGGTGGTGCTGTCGTCATCCTTCTTGATCATCTTTGCCAAAGCCCTGCTGGCGTCCTTGCAGCTAATATCGCGTCTGCACTGACGAAGAAGCCGAAGTCATGACGATGAATGGTGGTAGTTGGAGTCCGCATAGAGACCTTCAGATTGATGCTTGAATGGGGGATTCGAGATTGAGAGAAGAGTCCACTGACTTAGGAAATATCGATGATTCGATAGTGGGGAGAGAGACCGAGAGTAAGATTTGTTTTAAATCAATGGTGGAGATTTAATCTCCATATAATGGACGGTACCAACGGTCTTGGTCGATGGTCCTTTTTTTTTTTCAGAAATTTGAAATCAGCCTGTCTCGCCAATTACATGGACTCGCCTCAGCTCGCCCCGTTTTGAGTTTACAAAATCTGTACCAGCCCCGAACTGACTGAACCCGGCCCACCCCGCAGGTCCTAGGCCCGTTTGTCTAGCCCTACTCTTGATGGCCCTAAAAATTAATAAATTTATTTAATTCTGATTATGTCCTTGAATGAAAAGACAATAAAGGATAAATATTCCCACCCAATCACTCATACCAAAACCAAACCCTAAAAACATGTAAATTAAAACCTCTTCCCACCTAGCACTCACGCCAAAAGCCTCAAAAAACCCAACTCCATCATCTTCCAAGTTTTTTTGATGCATTGATACATATATTTGAAGAATGAACAACGAAGACGTGGCAATCTAGAAGAGGCATGGAACCATTTTTTAAAAGATTTAATCGTGCTCTATAATTTGAGATTTTTTGGTATCGTGAAATGTTCGGCAGATCGGGACCAACCGAACACAGAACTAAAGTTGTTTTCTTTAATTTATATTCGGCAAGAATTTTACCGAATATTACTTGATAAGTTTGGTGCTGTGTACCCAAAATTTCTTGTGAGTTTGGTTAGATAGTTATGAACACTGGGTTTTCTCTTTCAGGAACAAACTACTCTCGAAGAAATTTGTATTAGGTGATAAGTTAAATACATGCTTAATGTACAAGTATGGTGAGAAAATATGGTCTAATTGCTATATTAATTACATAGGACGGATATGTGGCACTACTTTTTTTTTGTACACAACTTTTGACACACATTTGTGTGGGCCCCATTCCGTAATGTTTTTAATAATTCAAATCGTCTCTCTTTTAGGACATCATTCATAGGTCATTATTGAAAAAAATTAGACAAATCCAATATTATTAAGACATTCATTCGCAGTAACAAAAGTAAACGAATACGGTTCTACAAAGAAAACCTGAAACTCTTAATCCAACAGTCATATGGTTTCAAAATTGAGTGATTTTTGGTAGATATGATCTTTGAGAGAAAATCTAAAAAATAGACAGTTCGGATCGTTGAAATACATTACGAAGCGCTCCAAAGAAACATGTGTAAAAAATTATGTAAAAAAATTAGTACCATGGATCTGTCCCCCTAATTACACATAAGAGTTACAAAATAAATAATAATATTTTGTAGACAAATAGTTTCAAAATCATAATCAATGCACTGCTAATGCACATGAGAAATTGGGAAAGAAAATCTCGAAAAATAAGCTCAAGTCAAGAATTTGGTTCTTTTTCCAGTTTTATGCTTCCTTATAGTGCTCATGATTTATTGGTACTCGTCTCCAAAAATACAATTATCACCTCTTTACAATAGTAGCACTCTAAATTATAAGATTCCAGCGAACTACAATTATGTTGAACTCGCTCATACTCACTTAATCTCTAAGTATGGAATGATCTCATATAGTGGCGGATCCAGAATTTTAAACTAAAGAGATCCTAATAATAAAGGTAAAAAAATTTATAAATAAAAATAACATTGAAAAGTTAAATTATAATACATTTCCTTCATGAATCATACGCAAACAACATTATAAGCTATAAAATTCTAATTCAAGCATCTACGATGATGTTTCATAGTCTGAAAATGTTCCATTTGCAAATATGCTGTTTGCTTGAAAAACATTTCCATGTTTCTTATCTCTACACTACACATTAGAATACCAAAAATTCTTATTTGACTCTTGAACCAAATGGTGGTGGTGTGGATATTTGAAACAAATTGAGATTTGATATTCGAGTAAAATTAAAATATGAGTTTGGGTGGGATTTTTGGATTTTAGGGTTTTGAGAATTGGGAAATTGAGGATTGGATATGCGAAAATTGGGGGTTTTAGGTTTTGGATGGGGACAGGGATGAGTAAGGTATGGGGATTTGCGAAGAGTGACGGGGGTCTTCGGGACTTAAAACAAAAAGGAAGCAAGCGACAGCGTTTTGCCGTTGTCTAATGTTTTTTTTAATTTTTTAAAAAAGGTTTTAATTAGTTGGCTAAAATGTGCGTCTCGGGCCAAGGCTTAAAAGGGTAAAATTTTATTTCTTCCTCCGCGCGTTCGTCTTCCCCATGAGGATGCCATTGCTGCAGCTGCACAACCTTCGTTCGAGTAAGAGGGTCCCTGAAAAATTTCAAGCAACGATTCAAGGGTCTTCGAGGGGTCTTGGGACCTCCCAGGTCCCTCTGTGGATCCACCATTGATCTCATATGAACTTGTATGACTCAACTAATTAATTGATTAATGACTCAATGCAATCGAGCCTTTATATAGATGTGGAAATGATATTTCTTCATAATAGTTGTTGATAAGACCCAATTCTCAGAAACCCTATTTAACCTGCAAGTAGCACAAGAATGACTACGGAAGAAGAGGGAAGGAAGAGAGGAGGCAAAGCTCCAATATCTTTTTGTATTGATTTGTATTGTGTAAAACTGATTTGCCTTCATTTCTAGGAGCTACGCTCCTTTTATACAAAGTCACCATCCTTTTAAATGCCAGCTGGCATATTAATTAATTCCTAGCATAAAACCTAAATTATATTTTTTCTCTTCAATTTAAAAGGAAAGATTGTTCTCTGTCTCCTTAATTGAACAGTCACAACCATATTTCTGAATGATCACAACCCATCAAATACTATTTCCACTCAAATAAAATAATTCAATTCAGTTTGAAACCTTTACAAACCCATCAAATACTATCAAATACTACTAACTAAAGATTGATCAAGATTATGCAATAGTAGTTGTTATAATGAGGATGTATTTATTTTTGAATTATTCAATGCAAATGGGATGTATTTATTTTGAATCAGAAGTGGTGTCTGCAACAAAATGCAGAATTGCTTACGAAACTAATAAACCCACATTTGGTCTAAGGATCAAATAGCTCCGTCAAATGAATGCTAGTCCCAGTCACATACGGAGTTCCACTCCACCATAGCTTGGACAGTATCTGATAAACCCTTTCTGTTGGGTGTCCAGAGTCAAAGAAAACATATTCAGTAACATTTTCACATAATTGAAATTCTGCGGAGCCTGCCTTCCCACCACAGTTCGAAATTCCTCTGTATGGACCAGAGCCACAGCACGCCGCCTTTCCTTCCTTGAAACCTTTACAGCATAATAATAACAAAATGAATATTAAAAACAATCTGAGAAGCTAAATCAAAACGGAGAATGCATCACGGCTAATACTTTACCGTATTTTAATGGATTGCCAATAATCTCATTTACTTGATCATAGAAATTTGCGTTTGAATATCTGAATCCTTGGAGCTTGGTCTTTAGCTTAAGAAGGTCTTTAGCAAGTACTCTACTGTGTAGTTTCACTAATGCTGTAACTTCTTCCACGCAGCTACCTAAGCTTTCTGGTTTAAGTATTCTCATGCTAGGTGCACAACCGAGAGGAAAGCCGTTTGCAAAACCAAATTTCCTTCCTCCCTTCTTGTATATTTCCTGACAAATGTATGTGAAGTAGATTAACTCATCCGAACTTTCAAAAGAAGAAAACTAGTATCACATTGTATCATGTGTATTATATATTTTTGAGAAAGTAAACAGAATGCATTTACTTCGATCACATTGGTGAGATTTCCAATCACCATGCCAACATATTCTTCATGTGAGTGGGATTCAAACAAAGTTGAATTTGTTCCGAATGGGATGAAGTAATCATTGCTTCCAATGCTAATCAAGTAAACAGCGTTTGATAGAAATGTGTAAGCTTCTGCATCGCCTAGTTTGTGCCTCAACTGCTTCTCGACGTTCTTGAAATAACTTAGTTGAGTTTTAAGGTCTATCACCTGTATACAAGAATGACAAGGTCATGCTAATGAAGAGAGGACACAATATATATTGGCAAAATGAGTAGTCTTAACAAATGATGGAACATATTCGATAGATGGAAGTTAAATTTAACATGGCATTGCGCGGTAAAAATAAAAATTAATGATTTTTATATAGAATCTAAGTGCTGTAAAAATAATAACACATAAGAAGGCATATATATATAAGCAAGACCACATACAAATCCTTGATAGGTTTCTGCAAGAGCACCCGCTCCACCAGATGCAAAGTTCACCCCATAAATATAATTGTCGAACCCGGGTTGTAAATACGGCGTTATAAATGGCAATTTTGCATACTCAGCTGCACCATTAATAGAAATTTTAAAATCATTTGTACATAAATTATTCACTAGTATTAGATATATAACAATTCATTATTTACAGCATCTCACCGATGAAATCCGGAATTAGACGACCATCAGAAGCTCTACCGGTGGCGTAATTGAAGAAGGTTTCCCCATATGGCCAAATATTTGACTGAAAGCTACTGGAAGTATTGATGTAGTTATTATTTCCGACATCAAATAGTGAATCACCAAAGATGAACAAGGCTGCATGCTTTTTCTCGCCATGGCTGTAGCTGCTTGGAATAAGAAGGCTTGCACAGAAAGCCAGAATACATATTTGGAGCCTTAATGTTGCCATTTTTGTTCTGGTTTTGTATGTGTTATATCTTCGATCCCTTGGTTCATATATATAGGTGTCTGATTTTCTTGCGCAAAAAGTAAATGACTAATTTGTTTAGTCCAATATAGGTGCTCATAACATAATTTAATGTATACGAAGTTACGAATTTCAAACAATACTAATATTATAATAACAAATTTGGACTTGGAATTTTGGTGTGGCTTGGCTAATCGCATACGTAAACGAATTTCAACCAGTACCGTTCACAGGGAGTCTGCCAAATTAGAAGGTTCATTGATCTATATGTCTTGTACTTTAATAATTGTATTGTACCATGAGATGAATGTTGATAATAAATCTCATGTTAATGAGAGGATGGATGTTCATGGATTTATAAGTAGGGCCACGCCCCCATAGTGCCTATTTGTTTTATGGTGGAGTCTCAATTTTCTTCAATGAAAAATAAAAACCACTTAATACTCCTCTTTCTTTGTTACTTATGTGGCTAACAAATTCTATGTCAAATTATTATGGCCGGTCTATTATGTTAACCAAAAAAGAAAATAAAATAGTTTCAGATAGTGCTTTGAGATTGCAAGGATTTAACAAAGAAGACTTTGTATGGCCAGAGTCAAAGAATATTCAGTAACATTGTGACATAAACAATAATGTATGACACCTCTCTTCCCTTCACAGCTCAAAGTTCTTCGATATGGACCATTGCCACTTGATAGAAGCATATTCATGTGACTTAAATGGCTTGTTCTCGTGCATTTACATTATGTTTCTTTAGTTATTTTAGTACTTTATGCTTCTTTTGTGTGTTTTCAGGTTCTAAGGGCAAAGTATGCAAAAGGATGCATTTTGGAGCCTTTTGGAGCAAATTAGAGATTGGAATGAATATCATATGCTTAAAGCCAAGTAGATGGACGAAATTGAAGACCAAAGGAGGCTAGGAATAAATAAAGAGATGAAGAAATGAAAATGAAGAACAAAGAGTTCACATTCACCACCAATTCAACACATGCAGCCATTCACCCCTTCTCTCCAACCTTGCCGTGCACATCATCATAAACAATCAGCCATTCCACATGCATTTCCACCCACATGCACTTTAATCATTCAATCACACCATTCTATCCATTCATTCAGCCACAAGCAACACCACACACCAATTCTATCCCTTGTGCCGTGCATCCTCTCACCAAGAAATCATTCATTACACATGCATTCATCAACATATCTAGCTGTCACTCACATGCATTTCCTTCATCATTTCCAACCCACATGCACCCAGAAATCATCCTTGCCGTGCACATTCACTCACCACAAACAAGTCACATGCATTTCCACCCCACATGTCCCTTTAATCATTCAAACATGCACCCTTTATTCTTTCATTAATTAAACCATTCAGCCACATTTTCACCAACAACAAGCATCATTGCCGTGCCTTTCCAGATTTCCAGCATCCCATAATCATTCACACCCCTTTAATCCACATGCAGCCACATATTCATTCCACATGCACATTCACCCCTTTCTCCACACCAAAACCGTGCACATACATTTCCCTTGTGCAATTCCAGCTTTCCACAACATATCTAGCTGTCATTGCACATACTTTCACATTCATTTCCAGCACCAAACATCCCATGCCGTGCATTCCCTTTCATTTCAGCCAAGTCACATGCATTCCCTTCATAAATCAGCCACATGCATTCCCCTTTGATTTTCCAGCTTTCCACCAAGTTCCTAGCTGTCATATTCCCTCTTTTTCACCTATAAATAAGCATCCATTGCAGCCACAATGGATGGACTCTTCCATTTTTCAGAAAATCATCCACAAACACCAACCATTTCCTTGTTGCCGTGTACTCCCTATTAATCCAAACACCACCAGAAATCATTCCTTGTGCCGTGGCTTTCCCCTTCCATTTTCACCACTCCCCAAACCATTCACACCATCAAACTATCCTTAGACCTTGTGCTACAACAAAGAGGAAGAGAAGCGGGCCTAAACGTTCATACAATTCAAGTTTGAGTTGTTGGAATGTTTAGGTGTTTCTTTTCCTTTGAATTCAATGTTTAATTTCAATTCTCTTTGTTTTGTACGTATGAGGAACTAAACCCCCCTTGGCTAGGGGGGAATTCGAAAATATATGTTTATGCTTGCACTATGATTTGATTACTTCTAATTGCGTTTCATAAGTTGTGAATTCAATTTGTTTAACTGTTTGATTGATAACTTATTTATGTATGTTTATTGAGAGTGCACGCTTAATTTTCATGCATGAATATGACGCTAGAATATAAGTGAGTTTCACCTAATAGTTATGAACTTATATTCACAAGTAGTGGAGGTTGCTTATAAACAATCGCGTTAAATGAATTCTTGGCAAGAGTATCATGCATTCATAGTTACAATTGCCTCGTCAACACTTATAATTTTCATAGAACATAATGATCTCTCATTGTATCTCTTCTATGCATTCATGTTGAGAACCATTGGAGAATGATTTGAATTGTCGCATGCATCATCCAATTCAATAACATAAGGAAAATTTGAGAGTTAATTAGTGCATCACGGTTAACTTGGGGTGTTGAGAATTCATGGTTTATTGAAAAGCAATTAGAAATCATTTTGTATGCAAGTATAACATGTGTGGAGATGAACCCCTTAGTTAGCTTCCCATCCATTCATTTCCGTCAAATTCGTATTTACAATTTGTTTTCTTTACAATTTGTGCATTTTAGTTTAAATTCGTCCAAACTAAATTCCCCCCCCCCCAATACTTTGTTTAGTCTTAGTCTTAATCTATCTTATTTTGAGTTTTGCATTCTTTGAAGTCTAGTATAGTGTTTGAAACTTGTTTTTACGTTTTTGAGTCAGTTTCCAAGTGATTTGCAATCCCTCCTAATCCCCGGTTAAGAACGATCCCTACTTACATACTTACTACAATTGATAAAAAAGAGGTTAATTTGTGTGCGTATAATTCTCGCATCACCACTCCCTCCCTCAATGTTGGTATTTAGTTTACAAACTAATACCAAATAATGTGATAAGTTTACAAACTATATTCCACCTCTCTAATTTCACTCTTAAAAAAATTAAAGAAAGAAACAAGAATATTTGATAAAAAGAAAATAGACCCTGATTTATTTGAATGAAGAGTTACAATTCTTATTGGCTGAATCAAGTCAGCTAATCGATTAGAATTTCTTCCCTTCTGTTGGTGTAGAGAATTAGAATACAGAAAAGACCAAATGTTCACCATAACTTGGACACTTTCCGGTGAACCTTTCCGATAAACCTTTTCGGTTGGATGGAAAGAGTCGAAAAAACACACATTCAGTAGCATTGTGACATAACAGATATTCAGTCACACCTCTCTTTCCTCTACAAGTATAAATTGCTCCTTATGGACCAGATCCACATCATGCAGTCTTTCCTTCTCTCAAACCTTTAAAACATAATAATAACAAAATTAAAAAAGAATCATGACTTATTAACTTATGAAAAAAACCAAACAAGAGAAACTAAAACTAAAAGCAGAAGGTGTTAAAGTTTGTATCTTTCTCTCTGTGTGTGTGTGAGAGGTAATTTTAGAACAAGGAAATGAAGAACAAATCAAGAGGCTTTCAGAGAAGAGTGCTCAAGCTAGTCATGGCAACTCAGCAAGCCTTTCATTGAAGGGTAGTGCTATCCACCCACTCATTTTACTTCTCATAGATCTGTCTTAATTTTCGGCTCGGTCGGATCAAATGAATTAAAGAAGATCAATGATAAAAAATTAACAAGATGTATGAAAAGTAAAAATGAGTGTGTGAATAACATTATCTTTCACTAAATCAACATCGGATTCTTCATACATTCTTATCCCTTGTTCTTCCCTACAAAACAGAGACAGCTACTTCGAGAGCAACCTAAGCCCTTCAAATTAAGAACCTACTCTGGTGCATACACCTGTAGACTAAGTCAACACCTAATCCACCAACAACAAAATAAAAGCTAGCCGTTACATAGAGACTAGCCGTCGGAATTCAAACAGAAACACAAACAGATGTCATGTGTTCCAAGTTGTCCTATTTAGTTCCAACAGAAGGCACAATAGGTAGCTATATATTGGCTTATTATATTAACACTCTACGAATTATTGAATAAACTTTACATACTTAATACACTATATATTTGTTTTTTCAATTAAAAATTATCTTAATACACCTCACATACTTCCTCATAATACCCTCACACCCTACTTTCTTAATATAGACCTTACATTTTCTACATGCACCCCATATTTTCTATACACCTCACATTTCTCAAATCTTATAAAACTTTTAATTTGGACAAAAAATGCCGACTGAAATTTTGACAAAAGATGCCGCCTGAGATTTAAAGCATATGTGGGCTGTTTTTAATTCCACCATTAAAACCCATGTCATCTTTTTTTAATATTTGGTGGTTATTTTAGGTGTTTAATTCTTCATGTAATCCCTGTGATCCCTAAAAGATGAATACGAACATAGAAGCTAGAATAACGCATCAAAAGCAAGATTTAATAATTATCGATGTCGTCAAAATTCCTATAACAATAAAAAAAATTAAAGTCTTATCTCATGTGAAGCTTCCGATATCGATTTCGTGTTTCATTCGTTAAAAATAATTTTTCTCAATCAAGATGTTTGTACTTTCATTGGTTATAATTTTGTTCAACAATGAAGGATCGGATGAGTTTTGATAGTTGAAGAAGATAAATAATACGTTAAAAGTGATTTTGGGTGTATATAGAATTTTTTATTGTTTATTTTTTTTAACCTTATAAGATCAAAATTGCCATTGTATAATAGAGTAAATAAGTTATTTAATATTAAATTTTAATGTGGGGTGCATTCAACATTTTAAGGGATGCTAATATAAAAAGCCCTATATATTCCATATTTTGGTGGGGTGATTAATTATTTCTTTTAGGTTAGTGTAGAGATCAATCTTTGAGTATTCGAATCCTTGGAGCTCTCTCCACAGCT